AGCAAATGTGTCAATACCAAAATCAATTTCAAAAGCATCTACTACAAAAATTAGGTTTCCCAAGTAAAATGTAGTTTAACAAGAGGACATTTACTCTGTCTTCCTTCTTGTGGGGATACTTTTCATTAGAATGTAAAAATGATGGCTTGTTTTGAAGGCGTAAACTTAATATGTATGAAACTTGATGATTTTCAAGATCAAAGGATTAGATTTCAATTTAAATGTATGGATTTTTTGTTAAAAAACAAAGTACCTTGCTGGAAAATAGATCAAGAGACATTTTGTGTATTTTTTTTTATGTCACCTAAGGAAATTGCAAAAGCATGCATTAAAATTGTGTAAGATTTAGTATACACAGGCAGGAAACTGCTCTATATAGATTTTTTTAAAAAATGCATTAGTACCTTTCTGCCCTTGAACCAAAATGCATTAATATGTTGCTTCTTTTCACTGTACATTTCAGTGAAAGATTGCTCATTATTGTTGAATTTCAATCTGATTGCAAATTAAATGATGCAAAACTCAATAAAGTAAAATACACAAAAGACCAATTAACATGTTATCTCAGTAAGTATACAGAAGAATGAGAGAACATCCTGTTCTACACAGTAGCATATAATTAAGATGTAGTCATAAATCAAGGAACTATTATAACTTGTTTAGGTGCACAGGTGGCTTTTAGAATGACTAATTAGCTCCTCTTGCCCCTTGAGATGGGAGTTCAGAGTAATTCCTGAAAAATTAAACAGAATAATGTCTCAAACTTCCGACAGTGTGGATGCTCCAGTGCAAACAGTGTGCCGGAGAGAAATGTTTACAAAGTGTTCATCTCCTTGTCTGTTTCTGTTCCAGATGCTCTCTATGATGTCATCACTGTGGGAGCCCCAGCTGCCCATTTTCAGGGATTTAAAAATGGCGGTCTTCGGAAACTACTCCACAGATTTGAAACAGAAAGAAGAAAGTAAGTGACCACAGGATACTTTAATGATATAACCTTCCCTTCGGGGAGTTTGTAGGCTCGATTAGGGGAAAGAACCCTGGTTGTTCACAGTGACTAGTTCTTGCATCTCAGCCCACTTAGTAACTTCAAGTTGTTGAATTTCCCAAATGTACTTGAGCTGGAATTAAATTGGGATAGATGAGATACCTCAGTATGTTGCTTGTAAAGTAAGCACTGTGCTGGCAAAAAAAAAATTTACTGGAAGCCAAGCTACTAAAAAATAAGTAGTGTTCCAGTATCACCTATTGCTCATTCAATGGGAAGGTGTTCAGATAGAGATTTAGCAGCAAACATACTGTAACTGTAAAGCCAAATACACTTAATGGAGATCACCAGTTCTAATATATGACTCTGACCCTTCTTGTGATTTCTGCTGTGGTCTGAGGCAAGGCACATAACTGCCCTCTCATTTAATCATGCCATTTGAAAAAAAATACATCATTACAGAATTCTACGAGTTAAGTGATGAGATTAAAAGAGAAAACATTCCATTTCTGAGGAAAAAGGCATGACACAAAACCCCTAGTACTATTACTGTTATTTGTAATTTTAATATACTCTCTCAATTTTTTGTTTATTTTTGGCTACTTTAAAATATTATATCAGCAGTTTATCACCCATGTACCAACCAATTATGTTTATCCTGTAATAGTCTCTGGCTATGACTACACCCATGGAAACCATAAAGAGTATTATCCAGGTGTGAAGGGTAACTTTACTTCTTTTTTTTTTTCCAAGTAGTCACTCTTCTTAGATAAGAACCCACATTTTGAAAGTTAGGGGTAAATAGTTATTCTGTAGTCATAGTTGGTTTAGTAATAGTATTAGAAAATCTGAGTGGCAAAATCAGAACTTTTGTTTGTTTGTTTGTTTGCTTTTTACATTTTATCACATTAACACGTAACACATTTGTTATTATGTGTCCAGACGTTCAAGAACTAAATATTAAAAGGAAGTTAGAGCTGAATAATTAACTGATATACTGTTACATAAATATATAAGCTAACAATGCATATTTATTTTTCTGTCTTGTTTTAAAGAAACTGACTTTGCTATAATACTACTAACTCAGCTACAGTCCCTATTCAGGTTTTTCCAGATTTTTAGGTTGTTGTGGTTTTTATTTATTTTCTTTTTGTGGTGGGGAAGATATATAGTTCTATGAAATTGTGTCACAGGTATAGATTAGAGTAACCATGACCATAGTCATCATAAAGAATTGATCCATGACCGCCAAGAAACTCCTTCAGGTCGTTCTCAATAGTCACATTCCTTCCTCCAAGCCCTTCTGCTGTAGAAAGCTGTCGTGGTGCTTTATTATTGCAAAAGGGAGCGGAAGTCAGAATTCCAACCAGGGCCTCTGAGGGGGAGGCGCTTCCTATTTAATTCATGGGGTTTAGAAGTTAGTTCAGTCACAGACCTCATAGGAAAGGGACACCATCTTGTTTCCTGAAGAGGAATGGGCCTATAATATAGGTTTCTGCGCGTGGGCTATACTAGGGATGTTGTTCCCACTGACCCCCTGATGCACCGGCCTTTGAATAGGAGAGAGACCCTGCAGTTTTTGTGATATTCACTCCCAGAATAAGCAGGTACGGTTAAGAGTTTCCTCTTCCGTTAGGTCACCCTTCTACTTGTCCTTTGGCTTTTCTGGGGCACTATTTTTAGTTGGCATTTTGTTGCATTGAGGACTTCTCTAGCAGCCAAGTTGGGATATACAGGCAATAAGAAAAAAAAAAAAATGGAACTCACTGTCATTAAGGACTGAGACTCCTAAGCTAATCTGCCTTCTTTTCTCCACCTCTTAGAGTTTTCTGATAAATGGCTTACATGTTTTGTCTAGAACATTGTGTGTGTGTGTGTGTGTGTGTGTGTGTGTGTGTGTGTGTGTGTGTATGATTAGCAGAAGCAAAATAGATTGTGTTTACTCCATTTTGTCTGAACTGGAAGTCTCTACCTTCAGAATTCACTTAATCTATTTGTTTGCTCAATTAAATTTTAAAGGGCATAACACAATTAGAAGACTGAAAATTGTCCAGAGGGCACATAGAATCCAGTGAGCATATAACGCATTGGTATATGAAACAAGGATCCTAACCCTGTAATTTCATAAGATATCAGTGTATGCCATTGGCAAAGCCAAATGTTAAGTTGTGTGGTTAGACCCTGAGTAAAATTTCTTGAGTGTTAAATATCTGCATGAATATTTGAATTCTTCACTGTTTTCCACTTAGATATTTATATACACACAAAAAGACACATAGCTCTAGGGTCAAATTTACAGTAGACAGAAGAGTGCATCTAGTGCTTGTAAACATTGATTTGCTTCAGGTTTTCATATGTTATATATCCTATTTCTTTATTGATGACTTTATTGATAAAATCCAATATTATTTTTAATTAGAAAAATAAGTTGGTGTAGATGTTGAAAAAGCTATTGATAGGGCAATGGTATGGGACAAATATGGCTTGCTGAAGCAATTCACAGATGAGCATGGTGTCAGCCTGTCCATCAAGTTAAGTAAGAGCTGATCTGAGCAAAGACTTCATGCCTGAAGTGATATCATACTATGCAAATGATTTTTGTGCAAGCTTTTTGAGCCACAAATATTTCATGTGTTGGTCAAGAACAGTAATATAGAAGTAAATATGACTATATGAAACGAGTAACTTAGACTTACACATTTACATTTGGCAGTGCAGAAAATCACATAAGTGAAAGAAGTTTTCTTTGCTCTTTTGTCTTTTGCTACCCTCCCCCACCCCCCGCAATGATAAACCAAGTGTTTTAGGCTGGTTTTTTAGCGGGACTACCACAGCCATTGTACTTCTTCACCTTCATTTATTTTCTTCTCAGCTAAGCCAATGAAATTCTGTTATCTGAGAACAGATATAATTTATGTGTCTGTTCCTTAGTGATCTATTGTTTGGTGACTACACTGACCACATAATGAAAAGGATTTTAGCATAAACAAACCTTGCTTCGAGTGTTCATAAAATGTAAGCCAGATCACAACAAAACTTATTTTAAAAGCTACAAGATAATTAATTAGGAAGATTGATTTTTTTAAAGCACAAATATCTGAAGACATTACTGCCCTGCTCAGAAACCATCAAGGAGTCCATGTTTATCCACTGGACATTTAAAGCTCCTGTGATCTCATCCCTCCAGCTTTCTACTTTCATCACTTCCTTCTCCTATAGATGCCCACTAGATGCTGTAGAACTGTTTCTTGAGTGGACTTCACATTTTTACATCTCTTCCGTTTTCCACACTCTGTTCCCTTTCACAGGAAATTCCTCTGCTGTCATCTTCCCACTATTTCCATGTCTTCCTGTCAAAACTATATACATAATCCTGTTCTAAAGTTTACACACGGTCCATCCTGAGATTGCACCCTCCCCGGTATGTCTCCCCAATTTCTCCAGTTGATTTGACTCTCTGTCCTAATATTTTATTTTTACTTCTCTTAATAGCCTTAGTAGGTCACAATTGTGGTATATTAAGTTTGTTCTTGTTCGATACTTCCATAACAGTTTGTGATATCCATGAGTCAAAGATGACGTTCTCTTGAACTGTGGATCTTTCTGGAGTGTTCCACAGAATACTTAGCATAAAAACATTCCATAGATCAAATTCAACAGACATTGGAATTCACATATGTGTCAGATATAGTCTCTGATGTAAAGTGCTGAAAACTCCCGTGAGAAATAAAGTTTCACAAGTTCTCATAATACAATAAGATCAATATATAAAACAGGGATTCTCAACCATGGCTGCAGATTAAAATCATCTTTGGAGCTTTAAAACATTTTATCTAT